GTGCGGGGTGTTAGGCTTGGTCATCCGCCTCTCTGCAGCCCGCATCTAGGGTGAGTTTGCATCGACTAGCCTGGCCCTAAGTCCCTCCTCTGTAAAGTGGGGGTGGTGAGAGGTAGCGTGCAGGGTAGGCTGGGAGGGGAGGTGTTTGCGCTCATTGCAAAGTGGCCATGAAGGCTTGAAAGCACCCTGTGGTCCTCAGCTCAGGTGAAATGAAACCTAGGGAGCAGGTGCACGTTCTGCTTGGAGAGTAGGCGATTAGCCTCTGCTGCTTTGGATTCCTCTTTTCTTTGGATTCCATGTTAATGAATGCTCTGGGGGATAGTTTACATTGTTAGAGTTTACGCTGTTAGAAGTCGGTGTGGACCGAGCTAGGGGAGGGAGCTGGGTGGCGAGTGGGCCAGGTGACGTGGGTGCACCTTCTTTACCAGTGTGTAGCAGACCCGCAGGGTGCAGGGGAGGCCCCGTGCCGCTGCCGGTGCTGAGAGCCAGGCTCAGCAGGTGATGCCTCTGCTCTCTGCGCACCTGTAATTTGCTGGGGTGAAGAGGAGAGATGGTCAGCAGTGATGTGTGATGCAGAACCTCGCAGAATGCCGTGACAGAGTAGCAGGGTGGGCCTGGCTGAGGCCCCTGGCCTGAGTGAGGCGAGCCAGTGTTGGAGCGTCAGAGTCCTCGAGGTCCTGTGACTCCAACAAGTCTCAGGGCTATTGGCGTAACTTTGAAAATAGATTACTGTCTTTGGCCGTAAGTAAGATGTAAAGTGGTGCCCGCTTAAACGCTGTCTGAAGTAAAGTAAATCACACGAGAGAGTTGTGAGTCTGGCTTTTGGTTTTGGGTTTTCAGCATTTACCAAGATCCGCGTGTCTTCCACTTTGTGAAGCGCCCTCCCGAGCAGAGGAAGGGCGCCACCACCTGTAACCGCCCAGCCGACCAGCACTGCTAGTATGTGGGCATACTTTCTCCGTCATTTCCCACGCTTTTTTCTTTCGGATAATTTAGACGTGCTGTTTCTTTGCTGAACACATAAGCATTTTCACCATCTTTAAAAGCTCCTAGTGTCTTTTTTCTCCTTTATCAAGCTGCATTTCACAAATATTAGGCACTTGGATGCCCTCTGGCCTTTGCCCCCTCCTCTTTTTGACCTGTGTAAACAAGGTTTTCTTTCTTGGGCACATTAAACAGGTGCTCTACACTGGCTGCAGCCTGGACCCTGAGAAGCAAATCTTCTAGAGCAGCAATACCTTATGTTTAAGTGCTTCACTGTTTACATGGGGCATTTATCTCATTTGATCCTTAAGGTAATCTCTAAAAAACACAGAGCAGTTAATAATACGCCTTTTGAAAATCTAAAGCAGAAAGACATGCAATGACAATAAAAACATTCGGTAGCCACTTCCACTTCTAAAGAAAGTTGGGAATATTTTTGCTCCTTGTCGTTCCCACAGTTTTCTTTAGAGCTCAGAGTACCCGTGTGGGCATCTCTCATAACATCTGCAGCCAGTGATGGCACTAATGTGTGTGTGCAGTGTCACGTCTGCAGCTCCTGGAGCCTTGGAGAGCAGATAACGTGACTACCTTTGCTTCTGCATCCTTAGCACTTTGTGAAAATTCCTACCTTTGAGTAAATCTTGAATGAAAAGAAATACACAAATACATGGAAAAGCTTAGAGTTGAGATGACCTAGTAGGGTAGGGGGACAGTTGGGAAAAGCTCAAACTACCTGCCCATGGCAAGCTGTCTCGGCACTGTTCCAGAACGTCTTCCTCACAGCCTGCAGGCCTGGGCCTTCACAGAAGCCGCGAGCGGAGGCATTGCATTATGTCATCGCTGCCTTCCTCGCAGTCCTTTTGGCAAGGCCTTGAATATTCATTTTTGAAAACAAGTTCAAGTGCTAGGAGAATTGCTTTCCTGTTTACCAGGAATATAGTTATACAGCAGGGATCCATCTGAGGTGCACTTGTTCATGAACTCTTGTTTTCTTCCAGGAAGGAGAGAACAGGATAGCTTTGGAGTAATGGGAGAGCACTTTGAACCTTGTTGTAAGAGCCAGTGTACTGTACTCTGACCAGCCTCTTAATAGTCTTTATGGCTATTAATTTATTCAGGGTTGCATTTGCAGCTCAGTTTAGCTTGCACATAGCTTGATTATGCAGTTAACTAATACGGTCCCACTAGGGCAGCTGGGTATGAATTTACAGGTAGTTAAGCAGTGTGTACCTAAGTGATTTGTCCTGATTCCCAAGACTCCTGCACTTAGCTCCTCTGGCAGTAACCGAGGAATACAGATGTTGTTTTTGTGTAACTGTCTTGTGCCTGCAAGTGCCATTTCTTTGTTTTAAAGAAACAGAAGAGAGGGGTAGAATAGAAATTAAGACCACCTGGATGGATTACTTTGTACATACTTAGTAAACTAAAGAACAAAATCCACTGCTGGTGGGGTTGTGGTTAAAATTGGGAGCACTGTTGTTTAAATGCTGATAGTATTTCAAATGCTAGCTAAAATTTTGGGGACATTATTTGGCACTATATAGAATTTACCACTACAAATTATTCAAGAGGATTTTTTTTAAACCACCACATTTTGGTGCAGTGCTGTCTATGATAACAAAAGCCTGGGCCTAATGTTGGTCTGCGGAGCATGTGTTCACTAAATTATGGCACATCAACATGATGGATTATTATGTAGTCTTGAAAATGTGACCATCAAGATAATGTAGGTATTTGGAAATGCTTTACTATCCCATTAGTGTCAAGAGGAGTTAAATGCAAAACATCCTAATTTGTAGTACAAACCAGGGTCAGAGGCCAGAAACTACTACGCAAAATACAAACACAGTTTTATTGACGTGATGGACTTGTGAGTAGTCTCTGTCTTCAATGTTGGGAATCATGTTGTTTGTTGTAAAAAAAAAACAAAAACAAAACAAGCCTTTTCTTATGGAATAATTACATCTTAACAGAAAAGTTGCAGAGCAAACTTGCAAATTCTTCACTTAGTGTCTCCTATTATTAGTGCTAAGCATGTCTTAAATTGTACTTTAAATTGAAAGTAATACCCCAAAGATAAAATTTTCAGTTACTCATGTCCCTCCCTCGGTAATAAGTGTCTCTCTATATCTAGATAGTAACCGTATCTTTCTATACCTTCATCAAGGCACAGCTCTTCCTGTCCTGTGTCATAGTATCATAATAGCCTGTGTGATAAATGTGCATTATTTTGCTTCTTGTTTTTTCACTTAATATGTTATAGATATCCAGCCATTTGCAACCCTGTCTATCTGTTAAAGTTATCTGAGTACTTTGTTTGTTTGTTTTTTTTTTGGTTTTTCTCCGGTACCGGGAACCGAACTCACAACCTTGCGCTTGCCAGGCAGGCGCTTTGCCCCTGAGCTAAATCCCCAGCCCCTATCTGAGTACTTTGGAAATACTGATTCCCTGGTCTCCTCCACACAGATTTTTTTCCTGGTGTGTAGGTAGGCTCAGGGTTCAATTCTAAGTCTTACCTAGAATTTGTTTTAAGCTTTGTGTATAACATAGTGTGCAAGTTAGATTTAAGAACGACCTGGGTAGCTATCATCACTTCAGTCTAGCTTTGGTTTATACTGGTAGGCCTGTACCAGTATTTATTCAGGCATTTCCCTGTCAGGTTTCTCATTTTTTCTGCTGTTGAAACAGTGCTGTAGTCAGCATCCTTATGCATCCTTACACATTGGTGTTTTCTAATGGATGGTCCTCAAGGAAGGGTTTGCTGGGCCAAATAGTACATGGGTGTGTATATTTTAAATGTTAATAGCTGTCCCCAGATTATTTTCCTAAAGAAACCCTAGTAAGTACAAAGATCTTTTCCATTTTTTTAAAGTAAATAAGCTAGTCAGTTCCCTTTGCTTAGAAAGTGACACATGACAGATCATTCTTAACGGCAAAAGCCACGGAACTCTATTAGAATGGTGAATGTTTAGTGTCCATAAAGCCTCCGGGAGAGTCTTTTATAATTGTTTTGTTTTCCAGTAATGAATTGAAGCATCCAGAAGATGGCTGTCTCATGCTTGGCTTGTTTTCTGGCACCGGGGCACCTTCCTCCTTGGTTTCTTTAGTAGTACAGAAAAGATGGTTTCAAAAGCTCTGTTACTTCAGGGCTGCCTTGAAGATGAAGAGAAAGAGTCTAAGCTCTGTCCCAGGGCAGCTCTTCCCCCTCTGCCCGTCTGGCAGTGGGCTCCACGGCCAGGATGGCTTCTGAGGAGAAACGTGTCGCAAGGCTGGCATAATTAGTATTCTTCCACAGAAGAGGTGACCTCCACCTGACCCCTAAAGTCAGCCCTTAATCCACTTTTCTCGTATGCATGTAGCAGAGTACCTACAGCTACAAATGAAAGGGATCGTGTTCTAGCTGTGCCTGGCTACAGTCGGAGGTGACAGTCACAAAAAATAGTTGTATTTTATTTTCTTTTTTCTTTTTATTTATTTAATTTTTCTTTTTGAGACAGGATTTCGCTATGCATTGAACTCACTTTGTAGCTGAGGCTGACGTCGAACTCACAGTGATCCTCCTGCCTCAGCCTTCTGAGTGCTGGGATTATAGGTGTGAGCCACCACGCCCAGCTAGTTCTATTGTTAAAATGTTCAAGTTTTTCATTCTGTTCTGTAGTGTATTTGTTTTAACATTAAAAAAAAATTTTAATGACTTGCCATTGGAAGAAAACCTCAAAACTTTTTCCTCCAAAATTTTTTCATAAAGCTAACACTTTGGTGTACATTTATAATACGCACATCATCCTGGGCTGTGTGTGTAAATATGCCAGTTTTGAAGCATAGGCCTAGCTTACTACTTTTTCATACTGGCTTATTTCATGACTTGGTCCAGACTTTTGGTTATACCGGGAGAGTGTGGATTCCTGTAGTGCAAGCTTTTTAGTGTTTCTATCCTCTTCCTGTAGTTTTTATGAAAAATTGATGAGGTTTCAAGAAAAAGTCCTTTAACCTTCTCGTTTATGGTTTCTTTGTAGGAGGAGAGGGCAGTCAGGGACCGGAATCTCCTCCAGATTCAAGACCATGAGCAGCCCATCCCGTGGAAGGTGCAGTTTAACCTGGGCAACAGCAGCCGGCCAAGCAATCAGTGCCGAAACTCCATTCAAGGGAAGCACCTCATCACAGATGAGCTAGGTAAGGTGGCTGCCCTTCCTCTCATATCAGGAGATGGTACACTGCCGGGGCCGTCGTAGAGTTTCGTTTTAATAGGGATTCTTCCACAGTGTGTTTTCCCTTCGTGCTCATTTCCAAGGGTTCCACATCGTGTCTGTCTTCCATACTGTACTCGCTGGTCCAGGTTCCCTTCAGCACCAGGGTGCCTTGATTTCATGGCTCTAGCTCTTGACAGTTCCTCTTGCCTGCAGCTTCCAGCGTTCGCACTTTATTGTCCCATCAGTCTGTAGGCAGTCCTGCTGTTCTCCCCAGCATCCTAGCTTTGGATCTGGACAATCTTTCCTTCTTATCTTGATCTGAAATCTGTAGGCTAAGAGCTAAGTTTTCCTCCTGAAAAAAACCCACAGAGTGTTGACACTCAGGAAATGCACTGGTTCATGGACTGACCAGATAATTCCGGCTGAATTGCAGACAAGTTCAAATGTGTTCTTACTGTGAATATGTCAGAGGAAGGCTTACCTCTTTTAAGCTTAAAGGAAGAAAGGCAATTGCTGTGTGAGACAGGTCGTACCTGCTAGTGCGTTTACCACTGGGAGGTTGCTTGGCTCTCCTAGAGAGACTCCTTCCCCTCATGCTGAGCCTGCAGAGTGCTGGCCACTGGCTACAAGCATTCTGTGAACACCTCCTTTGATTTTGCAACACCTGAGCTGCAGTTGTAGGTGAAGGATTAGGTACAAGGTTAAGGAATTTGTCCAAGACTGCGAAGGACTATTTATAACCCATAAATGCAAAATACAATGTCAAGAGTAACAATTTCTCCCTGAGGATATCTAGTGTTCAAAGTTCCCTGGTTGCTTTGCAGATCTCCTTTTCTTTTTCAACTAGCAGTTTGCAAATAACATAATTTAAAAAATTTGTTTATAAGCATAAATTTCACCCCGTTTCAACGGGTGAACCAATGGATTGTGAACATGACAGTATTGGAATTGTTAAGGTAAGCCTGTAGTGAGATCTCCGTCCACTTGTGCTGAAGCTAATTTGTACAAACACTTGCTGTCTTTAATGTGAAAGCTACAGCGTGTTGCTGCTATACAATGAAAAGAAAAGATTGCAACCCCTGCAGAATAACAAGGCTTTTTCAAAAAGATCTCAAAGTCCTCAAGCAGGAGTTGAGATTATTTTGATGTGAAGAAAGGATTCAGAGGAAAATTGCTCGCCTTGGAAAAAAGAGCATACAGTGGAGCGGAGTAAAGAGAGCGAGCTTCCACAACACAGCACAGGTAGTTAGTGGGTAAACCCGCGACTAGGACGAGGTGCCGTGGCTTGGTGCAAGGGCCTGTTTCTTACAGACAGAAAACAGGAAATCTGTGTCTTAACTTTAATATTTAGCATTGCATTATAAGCAAAAAGTCATGTTCTTTTATCATAGCTAGCAAAAGAATATTTTTCTTCCAGCTAATTTAGGGGAGACAAAGACTCAAGATCCTTGAGTGGAAAATTCGAAGACTTAATCCATCAGTGAAAACCCAAGTGTTATTTTATCTTTGTGAATATCAGAGAAGTGGTTTAATAAAGAAAACTTGTAACAATTTATGCCTTTTAGCAAACAGATGCCATCATGAATATTGCTAGGCTAACACATTATTAAATAAGACAACCAATTAGAATTACAAAGTTCTCAAAGGTTGAAAGTTAATTTCCCTGGCAATAGCAACACATTTTGAGGGTGTGATCTCACAGGACTGCGTGTTGAAATAACATTTGCATGAGTAGATTTGGGATGCGAGACGAGTGATTGTCACTGATGAACTTGTTTTCCCAGAAGTTGGACCTGCAGTTTCAAGGCCAAATGCTGGCAGTTGGCACTGGGAAGGAAAAGAATGCCTGAGACACTGACATTTATACTGTGGAACAGGGCACGGAGATCATTTCAGCAAGTGGAGTTTAGGTCACACAAAGTTGTAATGTATTTTATCATTTGGGGCAGACTTAAGAAAAGGGCCAACTCTCTTGGAATTTTGTTGTTGATACCTGTAAAGAAAATGAATAGGAATACTTGGGAAGAATCCAGAAACATTTACTATGACATTATAGTTATCCTCTCTTAATTTAGGGGGTGGGATAGCATAGTTAACAACGATGCAACGAAAGGTACCAGTTCCTGGATAACGAGGGTCTGGTCCTGTCAAGGCCTCGGCTTCCCCAGTGGTAGGTGAGGCCCTTTCTTTGTGTCCATCGTCATCATTTTCTTGGTGCCTCCTGCTTTTGCGCACTTTGTTTTCCAGAACAGTTTCTGAAAACAAACTTATACTTTACCAAGTGTCATTCTCTGGGACATCTGGAGCGGAGCGATGCTGGGAACAGCTGCTCCACACCTGCGGGCCTGTGCACGCACCTGTGGGCCCATCATGCACCTGGGAGTTTCTCAGGGTCCAAGTGGTGGCCCTTGTGGACTTACTCCTACATTTTTCTGTTCCACTCCCGGAAGGATGTGGAGAAATGTCTACTTAGCAGCTCTGAATTACAAATTAGCTTCCGTAAGGAGACTCTTTTTCTAAAGTAGAGCATGAATTTACTGGCTTGGAGGGGATATGTGTATGTCAGAGATGGGATCTCTAAGGAGTGCAGGGAACTGGGAGGTTTTCTTTTCCTTGGGTGGTAGAGAACTATGTTGCCTAATGCTGAGGGTGATTGAGTCCCTGCCCTGTACACATTTGCTAGCAGGCTAAGTCTGAAAAGGTTAGACCTGACTATTTCTGTGTGGGAAGTCCTCCATATTACTAAATAACCAGCAAGCATTTACATATATCTCTCTAGATAGACAGAAAGATAGATAGATAGATTGATTTGGCTTTTGGCTTTTGGTGTTTGAGCTGGGTCTCACTATGTAGTTCAGGCTGGCCTTGAACTTACTATGTAGCCAGGCTGGTGTCAAACTCATGGTGACCCTCCCTGCTTCAGCCTTTTGAGTGCTGAGATTACAGGCATGCACCATTAAAAGATATTTTTAAAGGATATTTGTTTCTCAAATCTAGAAAGATCTCACTGTTGTAAATTAATGCCTTTGTTTTTCCTATTTTCCATTTTTTTTTTTTTTTAAATAAGTGACGTTGTCCTCAGGCCCGGAGAAAAGATCATCCTGCATAGGTCAGAGCACAAACTCTTGGGAGTGGCTTGCCATGGTGAGAGGTCGAACAGGGGACTGCAGACTGAAGGGTCTGTAGGAAGATGACGACATAGAACCTCGTTATACAGGGGTCCCTGTTTCTGTGGCACTCGGGGATGCGAGCCCACGGCATGACGGCTGCTCTGAATCCTTGGTGCTTGGGGTTCCCCCCTGCCAGCTTCTCTCTTGGTTCCTGTGCCTGCCTTACTGCTGCTTCTGGGCACCCCTGTAGGGTGGTGGGGCACTCTGGTTCCTACTGAGGGTGGTCTCTGACTTGCAGGCTATGTCTGTGAGCGGAAGGACTTGCTGGCCAGCGGCTGCTGTGACAGCAGTGTCCCCAGCACGAAGCAGTTCTGCTGTGATGGCTGCCTGGCCAACGGCTGCTGCGGTGCCTACGAGTTCTGTGTCTCCTGCTGCCTGCAGCCCAGCAAGGTGCGTGGGGAGCTCCTCCAGCCCTCCCTCTCTTCCAGCCTTGATTTGATGGTGAGCCTTAGGCTCTGCATGGGAGGTTCTAATGAGTAGAGAAGTCAGAGAGGAACTTTGCGGGAGGCAGCTGCAGCTCTGTGCAGCAGCCTTTGTCTACGAGGGAGCTGGTTCCGGGTGACTTGAGTGGTTTTCACAGAATGGACCATCGTTTTGCTGATCAGATATCTAGTGCCTAAGAGACCAGACTCTCTCTTTCCCTCCCCCATGTAAGCATTCTTTTATTTGAGGAGAGAGATCCAAGGTTACCTTGCACTGGCTTGGAATGGAATTATTACAGGTACTAACTTTTGTTTCCATAGCAACTTCTCCTGGAGCACTTCCTCAACCGGGCAGCCGTGGCCTTCCAGAACCTCTTCCTGGCGGTTGAAGACCACTTCGAGTTGTGTCTGGCTAAATGCAGGACCTCCTCCCAGGTCAGCAGCTCTGTCGGCTGTCACTGGGGGTGGCGGGTGGGAGTCAGCTGCAGGAGGAAACCAGCAGATGCACACCAGGTAGAGTGTGGACGAAGGAGAGGCTGGAGTGCAGCTATGCTGTGCTTTGTTTGGGGTAATAATAGTGTTTAGGATGGCCGCGTGAGAGTTGCCCAAGTTAGGGAAGGTAAAGCATTTATGTTAAATCAGGGTCCAGTCAGCATGTAGCTCTCCTGTCTGCTGGGCCTGTTTGCACTTAAGTGGAAGCATAAAGTTATTTTTCCAAGTCAGGGTAGAGTCCTAATAGTCCAGCTCCTAAGAGATGCTCTCACCCGCCCTTAACTGAAATTTGACTAAGGCTTTCCAGCAACCCCTCATTTAGAATGAGCAGTAATTCGTTCTGAGGCAGAGTTGCGGTTTAATTTAGGATTCAAGGGGATCAGGCAGGTGGGTTTAAAAATACATGAATAACTCAAAGCCTTGATGTGCATTAGCGTGCTGTCATCGGCACAGTGCTCTTTGGGCGTCTCGCCTCGCACCTGCCGCGGCCGCCGAGAGCGTCTGAGCCGGCGCCTTTCCATCACTGCTCTCAGCGCCTGGGCCGGGGGCCACCGGAGCTCTTGGGAAAATCACCAGATGTGTTTATTAGACAAGCGCTCTTCTCCGGCCGCTATTCATGATGTCGCCAAGATTTTCCTGGCTTTGTCTGAGATAACAGACTCATTTGTCATTCCCTGGAACTTTGGCACTCTTTGCCAGATCTCTGTGGTCCACCTGTGGGTTTTCAGCCCCTTCTTTTTTTTTTTTTTTTTTTTTTTCAGCCCCTTCTTATGTCTCTGGTTTGCTCCCAGAGCACCCAGCATCCTTGGTGTTTCAGGGGTACAAAGAGCATTTGGAGTTCCTGACGGGCCTGTTTTGCCTGGAGAGCTTTCCACTTGATTGGGCTTGAAAGGATCCGTGGAGGCGGGCTACACACTCGATGCTCTTGGATTCATGTCCCCTCTCACTCAGAGACATGCTAGGGAAGGCAGAGTATTTTTTTCCTTAACTGAAAATCCAGGAGTTATTTCTAGTCTTGAGTGAAGCTGCTCTGCTCTCTGCCTTTTCTTTTTTACTGTACAGATTTCCCGTTGCCGGTCAGGGTGATCTGGTAACAGTGTCCCAGGGAGGAGGCGATTTGGCTGTATTCTATTAAGCTGGATGAGTGCTTACACTTTAGTTGCTGAGCACTGGTCTTAGGCTAATTATTGAACTCCAGGCGAGCCAAACGTTCAAGTTCTTGTATGAAAACAAATTGCTGAAAAATTCGCCATTGGGGATGTTTGCTCTAAGTCACACTTGGAGTCTGCTGGGCCAAATTGGAGCCTGTGTGGTTTCGTGGCCTTTGGCTCCTGCACCAGAACCTTAGTTCTGTAAACTCCTGGAAGCTGTCCAGAGTGCGTCTCCTTAGTGTCTCTGCAGGGCGCCTTACTGGGGACTCAATTTCTTTGGAGCGCAGGGTTAGCTACAAACACCTGCTGGATCTGAATCTGTTTCAGATAATTCGAGAAAATATCGTCTCCATCCCTCCAGGTCACACTCAGGGTACTAAAAAGCTCCCTAGTGGACATAAGAACGGTTGTGTGATGACACTGTGTTCGTCTCTGTGCCCTGCTTAAGCACTCTCTGCTCATCATCCTGTGTTCTGGAATGTTGCTTGGAACTCTAGTGCATATGGCCTCCTACGAGCTCCCGCAGAGGGAGCTGTGCGCAGCTCCACCCCCTCACCGCACCCTGTCTTCCTTTTGTCAACAGAGTGTGCAGCATGAGAACACCTACCGGGATCCCATAGCCAAGTACTGCTACGGAGAGAGCCCACCCGAGCTCTTCCCTGCGTGACGACGGACAGCTGGGCAGGAGGCCCTGAGGCGCTCACCGGGGCCCACTCTAGCACACAGGCGGTCCACTGGAGGAGCCAGGTGGCGCCAGGATACCAGGACACCTTCGCCTCGGCCTCGCGTAGTGTCGCCAGGCTCTGCTCACCAGGAGGCAGTACCAGGTGGAACTCTTCAGTCCGGCAGCCGAGAGCCTGGGCTGGCCCTGTGGGAGAGAAGCTGCAGGCTGGGCTGGAGCAACGCTGGCCGCTGCAGGACGCGGCCCAGGCCCCTGCGCAGGGACCGGGACCTTGGGGCTGTCCGGCGTCCACTGCCATTGTGACCCAGGCCCTTTCATGATACATTTATTTATTGGATTTCTTTGGAATGGTGGGAAAAATACAGTGTTTGGTATAGGACACTGGCTTGCCTTTCTAGTTGAATATACTCCAGGAAATTACTTTTGTTGTTTCTGAGTTTCATGAGCTGTCATCCATTCACCCAGATAAAATGGTTTGTCGCTTAGGATGTGGATATTCTCTCTAGGTAGCTGTTTTTGGTTGTCTTTAACAGTACCTTTAAGAGTCGGCCCTGCATGTAGCCTAGGAAGCGTGTGCTGGCATCTGTCCGATTACCTGAACCCTCAGAGACACTGCTGTGCTCTCATTCTGGGGGAAGCCACCGCACTGGGTGCTGAGGGCACTCAGGCCCTTCTCTCCTGGCGTCCGGAGGCACTCTTGCACCACAGGTGAGAGCCCTGTTCCATTCAGAAATCTGCTCACTGTCCAGAGGCGTTGGTCCTGGCTGCTTGCTCAGCCGAGGCAGCAGGGCAGCCCCCTCTGCCCCCTCCTGTCACGGAACCCTGGTGGTAAGGTGATGGCCAAGGGTTAACGCACCCAGCAGCTTGCTGTGTCCATTCGTCCCCTTCTGCTGTCAGCCTCAGGCTGTGACTATACAGACGGTCAGTCTTCCTGTGACAGTGATGGCAAACCTCTCACAGCTCTCCGTGATACAAACGGCTCACTGTGGCACGTGTGCCAGAGGTTCATCACCACTCTCCTGGGATTTTTGAATCTGAAAACCCAGCTTTCCGTGAAAGAGCCATACAGCTTCTTTCACCTTCTTTCACCTACCCTCTGTGGGGATGTGTGTGATTGTCACCGTTGGAATACCAAGTGTGGGGGGTTGATGCTTGTCCTGGACCCAGGGCTTAAAGCATTGTGCATTTTCCGCCTCTAAACTGAGTTTCTGGCTCTTAGGCCTCGAATGTTTGGTCCTAAGATTAAGACATCTTGACCCTTGACGGTACTGCCTTGGATGTCAGGAGGCACGTCAATACACACCTCTTTCGCAGACCCCTTACTAGCCTGGGCATGGGCCAGACTGGTGTTCATTTTTTTGTTGTTCAGGATGACCTGGAACGGGCCAGGGAGGTAGCTCAGCCGCACAGTGCCTGCCTGGCAAGTGTAAGGTCCTGACTTCAATTCCTGGTATGAAAAAAAAAAGTTGACCTGGAAACAGGGTGCTGGTTTATGATCTGCTTTCAACAGTTGTTTCTTTTTTTTCCACCAGCGCCAGCAATTGAACCCAGGGTCTTTACACTGAGCTACTTCCCCTGTTTTTAGATGGGGTCTCACTAATTCACTAAATTGCCTAGGCTGGGCCTGAACTTGTGGTCCTCCTGTGTATGCCTTCCGGGATGCTGGGATTATAGGTGTGCACCCAACGTGCCCTGTTTAACAACTGTTTTCCTTCTTTTTCTGGGTGTTTTTTTGAGACAGGCTCTCCATGTATGTAGTTCCAGCTGGTCTTGAACTTACTACATCATCCAGGCTGGTCTCACCTGGGTGATCCTCCTGTCTCAGCCTCACAGTTGCTTTTCCATAGAGCTTGTTCTTTGGGCCTTGTTTGCCTTCTATTACATACGTTTATGCAGTATGTAGTTGGAATTTCCTTTAACTTCCTCTGCTACCTCTTAAAATTACTCTCTAACATAATTTGCCCCACTAAATAAGTTTTCTTAGCGGGTAAACTGTCAGGCAGCTGTTCCATAAGGTTAGATTCCAACAAACGTACTCTGTTTACACTTCACTTTTCAGGTCTTATGTGTATTCAGCAGCGCGGAATCAAGCTCGAAGGAGCTGAGGCACGGCCGCGGGTTTTAGCTCTCATCTTTCCTAGCAGCTCGGTATGCAGCCCGTCGTTCTCCGCTTGGTGGATGCTGGTGTCTCCCTGTTCTTTGAGGCTGTCGTAACCCTTGAGCAGGGTGTCGCAGATTTCATGTGAGCACTTGCACTGTTCACGGCGCCTCGCCCTCGCGCTTGACCAGCACGCCTCCCGCGTGTGTTGCCTTCCCGCGGTGACTGCACCCCCCGATGAACAGTCAGGCTTGCTTGCGTTTCCGCTCCGTAGAGGAGGATAGGGAGAGGCGAAGTGACCTCCAGAGTCCCGCTGAGATGTGACAAAACCAAACCCGAGCCTCATCTCAGTTCTGGTCCAGCCTCTTCCCACCGTCCCTGCCAGCTCCAACTCCAGCTCGGGCTCCAGCGCGGACTCCCCGCTCTGTCTCCCCTGAGGCGTATGGATTTCACTTGTCCCGGCCACCAGGGGTCAGGGGTGGTGTACATATCCAAATTAGGTCAGCAATCCAGAGGCCGTTTGCATTTGGCCGTGGAGTGTGTTTTTGTACTTGAATCAGTTAGGGGTGTGTGTGCTGTTTTTACTGAGCCGGGTAACAAAGCCCCCGCCAGAGCACCTGGCCTGAGGCCCGGCCGCAGCCCGCGAGCCCTCATCCTTGCTGCTGTCCACTCTCCGGGTTGTCTCCGGCTTCCTTGCCTGAGTAGGAGCTTTGTTCATTTGTCCAGATCCCATGAAAGTGCGTGTTAGCATGTTGAGAGTTTCGGAAAAGATCCCAGAAGGGACGAAAACAGCTTTAGTTCAGAAAAACAAATGCATTAACTACCGAGTGCTTTGGTCTAAAGGGAGTTGGGTGGTTCTGAGCGTTTCCCTCCCTTCTGGGTCTTCCATTGGCCATGCTTGTTGCTGGAACTTGAGGATAAGAAGTGTGCTGACGGGGAGAAACGTCCCGCACAGTGAAGGGCGCAGAGCGGGGCACACGGGGCGGAGCAGCCGGTGCAGGCCCAGGGAGCTGGTGTGGAGGTGCGCTGGGGGCTCGAGGGATGCAGAGGAGCTTTCAGACCAGCGACTGCCCCTCTGAGCTCCCAGAGGCGGGCTTGGCCTCCCGGCAGTGTCTCGTGGCTTCTGGGGGAGCTGGGGTACGGCTGCACAGCTCCTAAGAGTCTGAGCACTGCTGTCCTGTCCTGGGCATTTGGGCATGGATTGTCAGTGTACAGAGAGACTGCCTGTTAGGCATTTTCTTCACAGGCGGGAGAGAACCGTGGGCAGACTGCTTTCCTCGTGTGTCCCGCAGACTATCTGTAAAATGGGCTCCTTTCTCCCTGGTGGGTGTGCCGTGAGGGGTCAGTGTGAGGCCCCTGTTTGGCAGGAAGTCACTGCAGGCTATCGGGAGCCTTGGCAGGTAGAAGGCAGGAGTGGGAATGCGTGGAGTGTGGGAATTACAGAACTCTTGTTATCTACTGTTCGTAAAGATACAAAGTTTAGATAATTCAGAAAAATATCAAACGATAAAAATAACCTCAAACCACACAGCCGAAAGATAAGTGGCAGCCATTTTTCCCTTCTCTGTAACTTTTTCTAGGAAAAAGAAGGGTGCTTATGAAAACAATCCTTGCATGTTACACACAGACCTCTGTAATTTCATTGGCCACATAGTGTCCGTTTCATGGCAGTGCAGTACTGTTATTAATTCCCTGCTGAAGGCTGTTAGCTCCTTTACAGGTTGTTTGTTGCTTTTGCTACTACAAATAATGCATTAATGTTATGCTTTTATATGTGTATTTATCTGAATTATTTTCACCAATTTACACTACCTAATGTGTAGGAGAGTGTGTTTTGTCCTACCCCGATAACCATTACCAGATTTAAACTCTTTGCTAATGTATTTCAGTGTTCTACTTTGTATTTATATTGGTTTTTTTTTTTTTTTTAAAAAAAAAAAAACAATCCCATATATAAAAAAAAACACAGAACAAACAATGAGGGCGGGAAAAAAAAAGCGCGTGCGTGGCATACATCTAAGTGTGTTCATAAGCTAAACGGTAACATACATAAGTACTGTTAATTTGCATCCAGTTTTTAGTGAGATGCTCTCCATTCCACGCTTTGATTGGCCATGTATCACCTACATATGGTTAATCACCTGTCACCTGACCAGTTTTTGTGTTTTTCTTCCTTATTATTCATGTGCATTTTTAAATGAAAGAGGCCTTTACTCTCTTCTCTCCTTTTTGTTCCTGTGACCCTCAAGTAGCTCACACATTCAGAAACTCAATTTTCCAGTAGATCTAGGACAGTGGTTTTTATCCAGGGGCAGTTTTGCCCCCGTGGGGGATATTTGGTGATGTCTGGAGACATTTTTGTCGCAACTAGAGTGGAGAAAGCGACGCTGGGGGGGTAGGGGTGGGAGGGAGGCTAGGGATGCTGTCAGCATTGCCTGGTGCCCTGGGCAGCCCCAGCCCTGCAGAGTCTGCGGTGCCCAGGTGGAGAAGCCTGGCTCGGGGTTGTGTCTGCCCCTTAGGCTGAACAGCGCGCGGTACTGAGTGCTGACTTCATTATTTCTCCGCCCGTGCATTCTGCTGTGCTGAAGTGCTGCTGATTAAATTACCCCGCAGTCCCCACGGGACATGTTACTTTCGTACAGGTCTCCAGCAGCCCCGTGCTGCCACAAGGCCTGTGTTTGTGCCCTGCCGAGGAGTCCTCACCACAGCACAGCTGGCTGAGTGCAGCTCCCTGTCCGCAGGAGCAGCTGGAGATCTGTGAGCACCAGCCCGGCCTCCAGGACAGGACAGGGGCTTCCCCAGCACCGCAGCAGCTCAGCTCGGAGTGCGGAGGGGTGGGAGAAGGGTGTGGGCCGATCCTTACGAATTCCACTTAGAAAACGGGCCATTCCACTAAAAAGCATCACGTAAATAACGCGAACAAATAGAAAAGGAGCTACTGGGATTCTGAGAGTCCATTCCTAGCCCGGCCTCCTGCTTTGGGGCACGTCACCTCCTGCCTTCCTGGCAGGCATCTTCCTGGGCCTATGGTGTCACTGCAGTTTGGGGCACCGGAGCCACCCGGTCGTAGCTGCGGCATGCTGGTCCAGTCTGCTTTCAGAGACAGGAAGTGGAAAAAGTGGCTGCTGACCTCTGGCCCGGTGCTGAGCCCAGGGCCTGGGTGTTGTGCTCGTGTCACCGATTTTGCATCCCAGCCGAACCTTGGTGGTTGTCCGTGTGGACAGCTGGGTTAGCTTTTGAGGTTAGAGTTGAAGTGCTAGTCCATAAAATGAAAGCCTGCCCTTTAAGAGTAAGCAGACAAAATAACGTGCCAGTTAAAGCCAGCAGGCCGAGCAGTTAATAACTGATCATTTTCCCACAGTGTTGGGGACTGAACCCAAGGAACAC